TTGCCTGCATTGCACGGCGGCAATCTGCATTGGCGTTCTCATAAGCCAGCTTTCTCATAAGCTCAGTTTGGGCCTCCGGGTTGTCGATCTGCCTTTGGACTGCCTCTTGGAGGCGGTCAATAAACTGATGGAACGGTTCGGCGGCACCCTGCCGAGTAACCGCGAAAGATTTAGAGGACTCGCCCATAGTGGGGACCCTACGAAATGCCCGACGGATGCACTGACCGATAATGGGATAAGCCGCTTGGGGCGTGCCCACCGCCTGCTGGGGGATGCTCGAAAACTGTCCCGTGCCATATAACTGCTCAGCGAAATAGGCCCCCCCCCACCCTGTGCGGCCACCGCAAGCGCCTCTCACTGGTACTCGCTATCCCACACAACGTATTGCGCGGGAGACAGCACCATGCGGCACACATCTTTCCAGTCTTGGGGGACTAACCAATAGCTGTTCGACACACCTTCCAAGATCCCCAGGGTGAAAGTAGACCGCACCCCGGTCTCGCGAACCGCCTTGCGGAGCTCGCGCAGAACCGAATAGGGGAGTGCCTGCCAGTCCACGATCTGCCTTCCGTTACCGTCATCCCGCCAAGAGATGGGAAACGCCTCACACCCACAGCTGGATTCCTCGTCGGTCAAGAGACCGGCCTCACGCGCTCGCCGCACCGCCGCAGCGACAACGCCCCCCCGACCGACAGGTGGGCGTGGGGGTGCTGCCGCGGGCGGCGGCGCAGGGAGGGTCAGCTGCGGGTAGGAGGGGGGCGGTCCATCACCTGGGGGCAAAAGGGAGACCGGCTTGGGACCATCGGGGCCGACCCCCTCCAGCGCCTCCTCACAACGCTGCCAGAGCAGCAGGTGCTGAACCGGGCACGGGGTTCACTATAGAGGGTGGTCCCAATCCGTATCCAATCAAGAAGCCGCAACGACCCGCAGTCCGGATACCAGGGGCACTGGCGATCTATTTCCCTTAGAAGGTCCTCGATATGAGCGACCGAGACAACGACACATGATCGTTGCCGTATAATCTTTTGTAACTCTCTTGCGTGCTCCTTCTGGGCACTGGAAAGTCCCCACCCCATACTCACGAATCAGGGGCGGCAAACGGCCGCGGAAGTGCACTTGGCGTATCCAGCCGGTGAGCAGGGGGGATCACGTCGGGGTCACCAGCTGTGGCGACGAGAAAGGAAGGAGACAGAGCGCCAGGTCGTGGTAGCGGAAAAAGCCTCCCAGGGACTTTTCACTGGGGTTTTTATTATCTTACTTTTCTATTTACAACACTTATAAGTGGTTGAATTTCTGCGCATAGGAGGAGCATACAATACTCATCAACATGACTTAACAAGGTCATATCTTGTGCACGTGAAAGCGAGCAGCGAGGGTGATGATTAGGTCAGCCAATACGTTTCTTAATCACAGGCGTGGGGGTGTAGGCCGCTCCGGCCTTGCAGCCACGGGCGCAGTGTGCCGCAGCCGTGAACTAGCAATTCGGGAGCTGTGTGTCTCTTCACCCTTTGGAAACCTCTGCTGATCTTTTGCCCCAGGGGCTAATGACAGCCTGGAATCTGGGACAGATTTCCACATCCATGCAGGGTGAGACGATGCGGGGGGGAGGAGGGTAGGGACAGTGGGGAAGGCAGAGGGAACAGGGTCAGGGGGGCTGAGGGCAGTGGATTGAGGGTGGGTGGGCACAGGGGGGACACTGCGGGGGAGGCTGAGGGAACAGGGTCAGTGTGGGGGCTGAGGGCAGTGGGGCTGAGGGGAGCCTCCCCAGAGGTATCTTCCAGGTGAGCCCAGCAGTGCTTACCTGGAGCGGCTCCCAGGAAGCATCCAGCAGGCAGGTCCCTCTCAATCCCTCTGGCTCCTTCCTACGGTTGGATCGGGTCGAGGGGAGGGGGGCAGGGGCGGGGGGGTCTCTGTGCCCGAGTCTACTGGCCCCGCCCCGCTGCAGCGCGCAGGGGAGCGAGACCTCCTCGCTGCCTCTCTGTGTGCCGGGGCAGGGGCAGGACTGCTCTCTGCAGGCTCCCGCCAGCCGGGCCGGGGGCCCCGTGGGCTGACACCACTGCGCCAGGAGCTCTCAGCTGCGCACTGCCCCAGGGCACAGGGAGGAAAGGTGAGTGGCGCCGGCGGTGCCGGCTTGCTGCGGTTCCCCCAGCGCAGCTGCCCTGTCAGCGCTTTTGAGTCTTTAAATAGCTGTCCGGGGGGAATCCCGGACATTTTTAGCTTTTTACAAATTCCCCCCAGCCGGCTATTTAAAGACCCAAAAGCCGGACATGTCCGGGGAAACCCAGACATATGGTAACCCTATGAAATAAGATTTTCAGTATAATCATCATATCTGACATGTGTATGGATGGAGGCCTGAGGCTGCGCACTTTAAGGGGACTGCGTTGTTTGGACTCTGAGTAACCAGTGCGGTCCTGTCGAAGCTGTTTTGGTAAATCTAAGTATTGGAAGATCCACCAGCGTTTGGGGTTTGTCTGCCCCATTCTGTTTGCAGTTCACCCTGATTGAGTGACCTCAGCTGGCTCCCACGGGCAGCACCGTCACACCTGCATACCGGGGTAATGGGCTCCCTTGAAATGCAGCAGAGAGACAGACAGGAGGGAGCGTGGGCAGCCCAGAACAGGCCCAATACCTCGGCCACAGGCAGCGCCCTCAAGTTATAGTCCAATTGCCATGGGCCTGATTGTCCTGGCACCATACGTCACCATTGACACCAGAGCCCGGAACGTGTAAATCGCCGCCCAGGGAGGATGGTGCATTTCCCAGTCTCGTTGCACAGGTGTAAATGACAACACCCAGGTCAGGGCGCTGACGAGCCAAGCACAGGGCGCGTGATGGGCCGAGTGCTCCCCGGGCTTGAGGGCCGGGAATGGGGAAAGTTGCCATTTTACCCTGCACTGATGGGGGCCAGGCCCCAGCTGGTGTGACTCCATTGACTCCCGTGGGGCTCTGGCCAGTTTACACCCGCTGGGGTTCTAGCACCGGTGACTCCAGCGGAGCTCTGAGCAACGCCCCCCGCTGAGGGTCTGACCCCAAGGACTCGAATAGCCCCACACCAGACTGTACCCGCTGGGGGTCTGACCCCAAGGACTCCAATAGCCCCACACCAGACTGTACCCGCTGGGGGTCTGACCCCAAGGACTCGAATAGCCCCACACCAGACTGTACCCGCTGGGGGTCTGACCCCAAGGACTCCAATAGCCCCACACCAGACTGTACCCGCTGGGGATCCCCCCACTGACTTCAGGGGGACTCCAGCTGATCTACACTCCCTGGAGACCTGCCCGGAACTTTCCATGGGACAGGATGGACGTGAGCAGTTGGGCCAGTCAGGGCCAGGGCACGATGGTTCCCCACAGCCACACTGACCTCAGCGCTGACAGACGGGGTGGGGGGGCGAGGGGGGAGGAAATAGCTTTCATTGTATCTGTTATCTCAGCCCTGAGAAATGCTTCCTCCTGCTCACCACCGGCTGGTGGCTGGGTCCTGGCTCCTCTTATCTCTGTTTGCCTGGGCGTTAAATGATTGTAGCTGCCATCAGCACAGATCTGCATGTTCAGTGTTGACACCTGGTCCCCTCCCCGCACTGGTCTATAAATGCCCCGTGTCCGGCCAGTGTCCCATGCAGGCTGCACTTGGACTGGCCTAGCACCGGAGCAGCTACCCAGCGAGACAATCAGGTGAGACCCTGGCTTCCTCCAGCTTCTTCCTCCTCCTGCGCTGGGTGACCAAGCTTGTCCCGTGTGTGTCCCCTGACCCTGGGGCCATCTCTGTCTCACCCCTTCCTCCCACCCCACATAGCCCTGCACGCGGCACCCTAACGCCCTGCGGAGCTGTGCCCAGCGCTCTGCCCCTCCGGGAGCTGGGCCCAGCCTCCAGTCTGTGTCCAGTCCCTGCTGGATCATCACTGTGCAGGGTGGCTCCCCACTGGACCCCATTTCTTAATAATGGTGCAACGGGGTCCCAGCTGTGATGGAGCAGGGGAGTTACATTGGGGATTGGGGGCTGCCCTTGCAGGGAGATACCTGAGCTGTAACCTGAGCCAGGAGGGGGGCTCAGAGAAATGACACCTTCTGCCAGGGAGACTAAACAAAGGAGAGGAGGAAGGGGGCGGGGGGAGAAAGCTGCTGGAGGGTTTTGGTTTTAGTTTCCTGTTTGGGCTGGGTGGTGCAACGTAGGGAACCCCAAGCTGGGGTCTAAGCTCCCTGAACCCCCCCAGAAGGACTTGATTAAGGGGTCTGGGTTGTACCTACAAGCTCTGCTGTAGATTGTGTTCCTATTGTCCAATAAACCTTCCGTTTTACTGGCTGGCTGAGAGTCACGGTGAATCTCAGGAAGAGGGGTGCCGGGCGGGCGCTGACTCCCCCACACTCCGTGACACCAGCCCCCACCATGGGATGCAGTAACTATAATCCCTCCCCTCCCCCCCACCCGAACCACACGGTGTTGGCTTTCCAGACACACAATCTCCCTGGAGCTGGAAATATGAGAGTGATTGAAACACCTGTTAGTGGCTAAAGGCCTCGGGGTGGGGTCAGTGGGTGTTTCATGTACCAGGTGCTGGGTGATAACATGAGAGGACTCCAAGTTTCTAACACTAAACTGGTCTCTAGTCAGAGAACGATTGCAGATGTGCTGCACCTGCAGCTGCCATTCCAGCCACGTGCACACAGACTGGCCTCCATCCTGGTGGCACTGGGGCCTCTTCCAAACTCTCCCCCCTGCCACCTGTGCTCTCCCTCCATGTTCCATGTAGGTGGCTACAGTGGGGACCTGCCAGCTCCAGCATGGGGGAGAGAGGAACAGTGGGAGATGGCAAATGCCCCTTCTGAGAACAGCTTTGCTCTGCAAATGGGACCCTGTTTCCTGGGACCCAGGTCCCGTCTGAGTGACCATGGCCTCCCTGCTGACCCCCGGCTCCTCCCCACCTGCAGCCCTGGTTTGGGGAGTCCCTGGAGATACAGTTTGCAGAGCCCAGCCACTGAGGAGCTGGGGCCTGGCTCCCTGCTGGGTGTCCAGTTCTGTCCCTGGGGCACGGCTCAGTGAGGGGTGGAAGAGGAAGGGCCCTTCGGACCCAGGAAGATGGGCTCCGAGGTCGGTGCCCCAGGGCTGGGGGACAGGATCCCTCTTGGGGCCCTTCCAGCCCAGCCCATCCCTTTAGCAAACAGCCCCAGCTCTGAAGTACTGAAATGCCCCGTGAGGGATGGGGGCGGGTCGTTCTCTAGGAAGTCTCAGGCTCTCATGTCACCATCTCCCTGGTGTGTTTTCTCCCCAGGGGAAGTGAGAAGATGGGGCCAGTCGCCTACTTCAGCCTCTGCCTCCTCGGCTGCCTGATCTTTAACCCCTCGCTGGAAGGTGAGTCCCTGCCTGGCCCCTCGGAGCTGTAGCCCCCGGGTGCTGGTGACCATGGTGGGAACTGGGAAGTGAATTCATTTCTCTCGTCACTCCCAGAGCCTGCTGCTGGGGGTCACTGCCCTGGGGAGAGCCCAGGCCTTGCGGCCCCTGCCCAGGGAGCAGGTGAGAGAAGGTGGGTGAAAGTCCCCCCAGGGTCTGCTCTTATCCTGAGGATAGGGTGGGACCAGTGGCGTAGCCAGGTGGAGGGTCAAAAAAAAAAGGCGCCACCTGCTGCGGCGCTCCGGGTCTCCGGCGGCAGGCCCAGAGTGGCCCAGGAGATTAGTGGAAGATGGGGAGCAGCCAGCTCTGCTTCCCTCGCCCCAGCCCCAGCCGTGTCGCTCAGGGGAGGGGGCTTGGGGGAAAGGATCCCCCCTGCACTCACCGGCAGTGGCGAAAGCGGAGCAGCCCAGCCCCAGCCCGCTCCACTCCGCCACGGGACTCTGCTTCCCGCCGCCGGTGAGTGCAGGGGAGGGGGAACCTTTTCCCAGCCCCCCCAAGCAACACGGCTGGGATAGGAGCAGTGTTCCCTTCTCCTCCACCCCAGACCCCTCAGATCCCTGCTATTCCCCCCTTTATGTCCCATCCCCCTGGGCACCTCTCTCCCTTCCCTCCTCCTACAACCCCCCAGCTCCTTCCATCCAGAACTGGGCCCCTGCTCTCAATTTTCTTCTAGTCCCAGTCTGTGCCAACCCCATTGCTCCCCCCGCTTCACCCCTTGGTCCTGGGTGTTCCCCTCCTGCCCCACTGCCGGCTTCTCTGCTCCAACTGTCCTGCATGGCCCAGGGGGAGACGGGGAGGAGATCAGGGTGGCAGGAATTCCCTCTGCCCGAGGGCTGCAGCTGAATGAGGGCCACTGTGGCTGGCAGCTCCAGTGCTGCCCGGCTGGGATCCCTGCTCAGGGCTGGGTTTCAGGGGCCCCGTTCTGCCGATGTGGGGTCTGGGCAAACCCAGCTTCTTCCTGCAGCGCCAGGGCCTGGAGGGTCCTGCCAGCCAGACACAGCCCCAAACGGGGTCCCAACGTTAATTGTCCTAATTTAAAGCAATGGCTCTGCCTCTGAAAGAGCCTCTAACCACGGTGTCCTGTCCCCACCATTGCCCCCCGGCCCCCTCTCTCTGCAGGGGTACAGGGTGTAGCATGTCCCAGGTCCTGGCTACCCTTCCACGACAGCTGCTATCGATACGTCCCCCAAGAGAAAACCTGGATGGAGGCTGAGGTGAGAGGCTGGGGACAGCGGGGCTCAGGGGCGCTGGGCTGGAGCTGGAGGCTGGGGGGATGGGGCGGTTTAGGGTGAATATCAGAGGAAGTGAGCTGGGCTAGGCTGGGAATCCGCTACGGTGGGAGGGGTGGGGGTAGGGTTGCCAACTTTCTAAGTGCAAACCCCTGCCCCGCCCCTTCTCCGAGGCCCCACCCCCACTTGCTCCATCCCCCCATCCTCTGTCACTCTCCCCCACCATCATTCACTTTCACTTGTCTGGGGCAAAGGTTTCAGATGCGGGGGTGGGTGAGGGCTCCGGCCTGGGGTGCGGGCTCTGGGGTGGGCCCAGGGATGAAGGATTTGAGGTGTGGGAGATGGCTCTGGGCTGGAGCAGGAAGTTGGGGTGCAGGGGGGGTATAGGCTCTGAGCTGGGGATGTAGGAGGGGGCTCCAGGTTAGGGCCGAAGGGTTTGGAGTGAGGGAGGGGATGCGGGCTTAGTCTGGGGGTGTGGGCTCTGGGGTGGGGCCAGGGATGATGGGATACGGGTGCAGGAGAGAGCTCTGGGCTGGGGCAGGGGGTTGAGGTGCGGGTGGTGGGTCATGGCTCTGGCAGAGGGGTGGTTCTTGGGTGGGGCCAGATATGAGAGGTTTGGGGTACAGGAGGTGCTCAGAGCTGGGCACGGGATTGTGGTGTGAACAGGGTGTGGGTTCGAGGAGGGAGATTGGGTACAGGAGGAGACTTCGGGCTGGGGCAGGGGATTGGGGTGTGGGAGGGGGATCGGGGTATGGGGTCCCAAAAGCACTTACTGCGGTTCCTAGGAAATGGCTGCTCCAGAGCTCCCATTGGTTGTGGTTCCCAGCCAATGGGAGCTGCGGAACCGGCACTCGGGCAGGGGCAGCGCATGGAGCCTCCCTGGCTCATATGTGCCTAGGGGCTGCAGGGACCTGGCAGCCACTTCCGGGAGCTGTGCAGAGTCAGGGAAGGGAAGAATTCTAGTAGATTGGTGAGGCATGATTTCCCTTTACAAAAACCATATTGACTCTTCCCCAACAAATTATGTTCATCTGTATGTGTATGGCAATTTTTTTCTTTACTATAGTTTCAACCAGTTTTTCTGGTACTGAAGTTATGCTTACTGGCCTTGAATTTCAAGGATCGCCGCCGAAGCTTTTAAAAAAAATTGGCATCACATTAGGTATCCTCCAATCATATGGTATCACAGTTAGTAGTTCTTCAGATTTACATTTGAGTTCCTTCAGAACTCTTGGGTTAATACCATCTGGTCCTGGTGACTTATTGTTTAATTTATCAATTTGTTCCAAAACCTCATCTAATGATACCTTAATTTGGGACAGTTCCTCAGATTTGTCACTGTCATAAATATAAAGGGAAGGGTATCAACCTTTAGGTATGCAGTAACATAAAATCCCTCCTGGTCAGAGGTATAGAATCAATTTACCTGTAAGGGGTTAATCAGTTCAATTAACCTAATTGGCACCTGACCAGAAGGACCAATGGGGAAATAAGATACTTTCAAATTGGAGGTGGGGGGGGAGGTTTTGTTTGTGCTCTCTTTGTTTTGTTCCCTCTCTGGATGGGGAGAGAGACCAAGCATACCTGAAAACAAACCTGAAATTATACATATAAAATTACAGAAGTTGATAGTAAAGGCAAGGAAATGTGTTAGACTGTCTTTTGTTTTAACCTGTGAATTTTCCCTATGATAAGAGGGAGTTTTATTCCTGTTTTTGTAACTTTGAAGCTGAGCCTAGAGGGGAATCCTCTGTGTTTAATCTTTTTATTACCCTGTAAAGTTACCTTACATACTGATTTTGCAGGTGTGATTCTTTTACTTTTTCTTTACATAAAGTTCTTCCTTTAAGAACCTGTTTGATTTTCAGTGTCCTAGGGACAAAGGGTCTGGTCGGTACTCACATTATTCTCAAGCCTCCCCAGGAAAGGGGGTGAAAGGGCTTGGGGGAATATTTTGGGGAAGAAGTGACTCCAAGTGACTCTTTTCCTGAATTTTTGTCTAAATCATTTGGTGGTGGCAGCAATACCGTGCAAGGACAAGGAAAGGAATTTGTGCCTTGGGGAAGTTTTTAACATAAGCTGGTGGAATATAAATTTAGGGGGTCTTCCATGCGGGTCCCCACATCTGTACCACAGAGTTCAGAGTGTGGAGGGAACCTGGACAGTCACCTAAAAAGAACGTTTCAG